CTAACTGAGATAATTATTTGGATTAATTTAACAGGAGATCATGAACTCCTTATTTCAAAATTCAGACTTAAATTTAAGAAAGTAGGGAAAACCACTACACCATTCAGGTATGACCTAAATCAAATCCCTTATGATTATACAATAGAAATGACAAATATTTCAAGGGATTGGATCTGATAGAGTGCTTGAAGAAATGTGGATGAATGTTAGTGACATTGTACAAGAGGCAGTAATCCAAACCATCCCCAAGAAAAAGATATGCAAAAAAGCAAAATGGCTGTCTGAGGAGGCCTTATAAATAGCTGAGTAAGAAGAGAAGCTAAAGGCAAAGGTGAAAAGGAAAGATATACCCATCTGAATGCAGAGTTCCAAAGAACATCCAGCAGAGATAAGAAAGCCTTCCTTGGTGATCATTGCAAAGAAAAAGAGGAAAACAGTGGAATGGGAAAGACTAGAGAAATTTTCCTCAAGAAAATTAAAGATACCAAGGGAGCTTTTCATTCAGAGATGGGCACAAGCAAGGACAGAAATAGTATGGACCTAACAGAAGAAGAAATTAAGAAAATGTGGCAATAATAGAAGAACTGTACAAGCCAGATTTCAACAGTACGTGAACCAAGAAATTTCAGATGTTCAAGCTGGATTTAGAAAAGGCAGAGGAACCAGAGATCAAATTGCCAACATCCGCTGGATCATAGAAAAAGCAAGACAGTTTCAAAAAAAAAAAATCTTCTTCTGCTTTATTGACTATACCAAAGTCTTTGGCTGGGTGGATCATAACAAACTGCGGAAAATTCTTAAAGACATGGGAATACCAGACCACCTTATCTGCCTCCTGAGAAATCTGTATGCAGGTAAAGAAGCAACAGTTAGAACTGGATATGGAACAACAGACTGGTTCCAAATCGGGAGAGGAGTATGTCAAGGCTGTATATTGTCAGCCTGCTTATTGAACTTCTATGCAGAGTACATCATGGGAAATGCCAGGCTGGATTAAGCTTGAGGTGGAATCGAGATTGCCAGGAGAAATATCAATAACCTCAGATATGCAGATGATACCTGCCTTTTGGCAGAAAATTAAGAACTAAAGAGCCTCTTGATGAAAGTGAAAGAGGACAGTGAAAAAGTTGGCTTAAAACTCAACATTCAAAAAACAAAGATCATGGCGTCTGGTCCTAGCACTTCATGGCAAATTAATGGGGAAACAATGGAAAGAGTGACAGACTTTATTTTCTTGGGCTCCAAAATCACTACAGATGGTGACCTCAGCCATGAAATTAAAAGAGGTTGACCCTTGGAAGAAGAGCTATGACCAACCTAGATAGCATTGAAAAGCTAAGACATTACTTTGCTAACAAAGATCCATCTAGTCAAAGCTAAGATTTTTCCAGTAGTTGTGTATGGATGTGAGAGTTGGACTGTAAAGAAAGCTGAGTGCCAAAGAATTGATACTTTTGAACTGTGGTGTTAGAGACAACTCTTGAAAATCCCTTGGATAGCGAGAAGATCGAACCAGTCAGTCCTAAAGGAAATCATTCCTGAATATTCATTGGAAGGAGTGATGCTGAAGCTGAAACTCCAATACTTTGGCCACCTGATGCAAAGATCTGACTCACTGGAAAAGACTCTGATGCTGGGAAAGATTGAAGCCAGGAGAAGATAAGATAACTAGTTCTGACTTTCTGTTTGAGGCAATGCAAGTCCCACGACAAAGTAAAAACATTTAAGTACTGGAAAAGGGAAAGCGAAGTCCCTCAGTTGTGTCTGACTCTTTGCACTGCATGGACTGTAGCTCGCCAGGCTCCTCTGTCCTTGGGATTTTCCAGGCAAGACTACTGGAGTGTGTTGCCATTCCCTTATCCAGCGGATCTTCCCAACCCAGGAGTTGAACACTGGTCTCCAGCATTGCAAGCAGATTCTTTGCTGTCTGAGCTATTAGGGAAGCCCTGTAAAACCATATGCTGTCTATAAATATGTATGTTTAAATATAAGCACAGAAACAAATTATTAATAAACAGGTAAAAATTATACACCATGTACAAAGTTGTAGTGTTTATATTAGTATCATTCAAAGTAAGACTATAGGGTAAAGAATATATTCAGAGAGAAAGAAAAAATATTTCATGATGATAAAATAGAAAAGAAATTATGTAGTATCAAAATTAGTGGGCTAACATTAAAGTCGTGGCTAGAAAAAAATTTGGAACACTGAAGCTTCCTTGATGCCTACATTAGAATAAAAACCAAAGCTGAATGAAATGATCTAAGATTCCATTTCATGGATCTACAACAATAAGAGCAAATTGTAAGTGAAAAAGAGGAACGAAAACTGAGAACAGAAATCAATTAAATAGAAAGCAAACATACAATGAAAAAATCAACAGAGTCAATTGGTGAATTTAATGATATGATATATGAGCACATTTTACTCAATTTCAAAATTTTAGGTAAAATTGGCCAAGTCCTTGAAAAGCGCAACTCACCAGAACCTGACACCAAAAAAAGGAAAATCTGATTGGTCCCATATTTGTTAAAGAAATAGATTCAATATTATAAAAACTTCCCACAAAGAAAATGGCAACCTTCAATGGCTGGCACTTCCAGAGGGCTCAGAAATGACTCCCATATCAAGATAAAGGACGAGAGGGCAGGAAGGAAGGGTACACATAGGTTGTGGTGAGTGTAGTAGTTGAGCTGAATCATGGACCCACCCTCTCCTCCCGTAATCCCTGCATCTTCACCTGCTCATCATTTTGCACTTCTGTACTGCAGTCCTTCTCAGCTTGTGAAGCCATCCCAAACCTTTGTCTTGAAGCCCTTGAAGTCCACTTTTTAATTCAAACAAACTCCTGTACATTCTTCTCAGGTGATTGTTTCTACTCTGGATTTCTCCTTCTTCACTTCCAACAATCCACTGAAGAGTCTGAGATTTCTCTTCCATACCTGAATGAGAGGAATAAACTAAGCCTGATAAGTCTGAGATTTCTCTTCCATACAAGACTGAGAGGAATAAACTCCCAGACTTCAATTCCAGTGAGAAAACTGAACAGATGTGCTATTCTATTCTTATCTCTGGTGCATCACCACCACTTTGACTTACCTTCACATTATTAAAACATGTCTGAAAATAGAGAAAAGACAGATGAGTGGGAGGAAACTGGTGACAAAGACATTAGTAGAAGTAAACTGGAATTGTCCATAAATGTATGAGAGCCAAAGTTAGAGCGATAGCAGTCGAGGTTTAAATGCCAGACTACTCACAAATCTTATTTTAAAATGCATCTTACTGGAATTAATATCAAGACATCAATTTTCTTAAAATGACCACTAGAAGCTCCAGCAGCACACAGTCCATTTTTACTTAGATGCTGATTTGTCAAAATAAAGCAAATCCTCCTGTAGTGTCTCCAGAAGTTTATCTTCAGACGAAACCATGGCTAGGACCTTGTGCCAGTAAGGAATGTCACTTGAAATGTTGGAAAACATTAAGGCTTTCTTAAAGCAGAAATTTATAACTGAAAGTCAAATCTCCTTGAAAATAATTGTTTTTGAGAGTAATACTGTAAAAAAGAAGGTGAACAAAAACTTTTGAGGAGACGAACAGGTTTATGGCATCGGTGTTGTAATGGTTTCACAGATGTATACTGATTTCCAAACTTATCATAATGAAAACATTAAATATGTATAGTTTTTGTATGTCAATAATGCCCAGATAAAGTCATTTCTAAAAAGAAAAATAATTGTTTTCTTAGAGGTCTTAACTAGTATCATCAAAAATCTGCTCAAGGTGAGATTGGAAAGGACGACTTTTCCACTGATTTTCTCCAATATAACACCAACGAGCTAATTGGCTGAGGCTCCAGTATTCTGGCCTGGAGAATTCCATGGACTGTATAGTTCATGGGACCGCAAAGAGTCAGACACGACTGAGCAACTTTCACTTCACTTCACTTAGGGACCCACTGCAGATATCCTCAGGGCTCCCAGGTCCCACCATCCCATCAAATGGGGTGACCCTTTTCTGAGTGAGACTCAATCACCTGCCTTAGGGAATTCACTGTGATTTTGGACTCTTCCAGCTACTCTGATGGATTAACATCCTGGCCATCTCATCCGCCACCGTAATAACAACGGAGATGTTCTCAGTTCCTGAGACCACCCATTCACACTCTAGTTTCACTGCTATCTTTACTGCCTCCAATTTGGCACAAGTCAGTTACACTTAGACAGCACTGAACAATTTTTATGAGTCACTTTAGGTTTTTTTAGCATCACTGCCTTAGCACTTGTTTTGTTCCAGCTACTGCGGTATAAATTTCAAAGCTTCATATTTTTCTGCAGCTTCAACATCCCCACAAAGGATATGAGCTCCCCACCCAGGTGAGCAGGTGCACCAGTGTAACGAGACTATCCCCTGCCAGAAGTCCCCCTTCTTGCCACCTCTGGCTGACTGTGACCTAGTGATGTTCAAACACACCAGTGAAATCCCCTCAGGTCTTTTCCTTGTGTAACTGCATCTTGACCCACAGTATTGTCACTAGTCCTGAGTCTTCATGCCCCATTTTGGTTAAGACTGCCAGGTTGAGCTTGTTCTATTGGCATCTCCCCATGTACCCACCTGATGGTCCTCTGTCTTTTCATAGGACAGATAATAATTCCTAGGAGCTATGAATACAGTTAACTTCGCTTGCTGTATCTCTCCTATACACCACCCTGTAGCTGCACTTCTCAAACCATCCTAAGAAAGAATAAAAGCTGCTACCATGATGAAACTAACTCAGACAAGTCCAACCCAGAAGTTGGTCTGGAGCCTTTACTGTTCAAGTCCAAGCAATTCCTTCTGCTCCCTTGAGCACCAATGCTCTAGGAATCACATGGGACTGGAGTCTTCACTCAAGTAGACTCTAAAGGCTGTGATCCATATTCTCACATAGTTATTCTGGGAATCAGACCAAAGCTTTTCCTGCTGGGGACCCACACCCACACCAGGCAGGACTCACCTGAGCAGACTGCTCCAGCATCCCAGTCATGAAATAAGCCATAATTACCAAAGTCTTTAATAATTGAATGCTGACATTCAGTGAGAGTTGTCTCTGTTCCCTTGCATGAAACATAGCTAAACCAAATGGGGCCAGCTGATGGTCCAAAATAACCATCTCGAGGAGCCCCAATAGCAGCTCCACACCCCAGCTGTCTACACACCACAGCTGCCTCCTCCAAGTCCCAACCATCATCATTCACTGTGCCCCATTCTCCTTGAAGCTTTACTTCCACTCTCCCCTCACAGCGGTGGGCTCCATCCTTTCTTCAGTCTCAGTTCCAGAGCTGCAAGAGACACAGACATAGGATACAGGGGAGATTTTAGGAGACTAGACAATGGTATAAATATTTTTAAAATGAGCTGAGAGGAAAAATTCCCTATATATAGTATTTGTTGACTTCTGTGGTACACATATTCCCACCATGGCCAACTCTAAGCTCCCAATGTGCCATCACTGAACATGGAGCAGGATGGAGGGACACTAGGTACTTCTCACAAGCCTGTAGAACCAGCTCCAGGGACACCACTGAGGACAGGCCTTCAGAGACTCTGGATGCTGCCCTCCCTGTAGATGTGCCCAAGGCTACTAGGGCCCAGCTTCCCCGTCTCAGTTACAGCTGATGGAACACAGGTAGGAATCCTCCCCCTCCTTCCCTGTCCATAGGGAGCATCTTATCCAGCTTAGGAACAGAGGGCTGGAGTAACAGGCTCTAAAGTGTCCTGATTGTTCCTGCTGCTTGGTGTTCATGTCCTTGTGTAATCCCCCCACTTGTGTGTATCTAGTAACATGAGTCTAAATGGAATTTGGCAAAAATGATGAGATTTCACTTAAGAGATTAGGACTCAAGACAACTCTGGAGCTTTCCTAAAATCTGCTTCCCGGGTTATTAATCAAAGTTTGGGTAGAATAAAATCCCCTGCTTTTCTCCCTAACAAAATTGTTAATTGAATTTTCATTGACATGCCTAACACCGGTGATTAGGAAAGTATGCTGCATTTCAATTATATAATAAAATGATTGTAGGAGGTTAAATTTTCTATGTTATCCCTGGAATATCCTATCTTTTGTAATTCCATCAATACAATGGACTTCCCAAGCAGTGCAAAGAATCTGTGTGCCAGTGCCAGAGACAAAAGAGATGCAGATTAAATCCCTGGGTCTGGAAGATCCCCTCAGGAGGGCATGGCAACCCACTCTAGTATTCCTGCCTGGAGAACCCCATGGGACAGAGAAGCCTGGTGGCTACGGTCCATAGGGTCACAAAGAGTCAGACACAATTGAGTGCACACACATACATCAAAACAATAAAAAAATTTTTACTGTGTAAAAGCAGCATAATTAACAATATTAATATATACAGATGTGCAAAATATATTGTTAACTTTTAAAAACATGTTACAAAAATATTATATATTGAATTGTCTAATCTTGGGGGTCTACATTATTGTGTATAATAACATCAATTATACTTCAAGGAATAATTTTTCAGCAATGCCCATCACAGATTTCCTGGTAAAAGCTCCTGTAGCGTCTGCCCAGCTCAGAAATCATCAAATACTCACAAATGCCTAGACTATTGTATTATAAGGAGCAAGTTCAATGTCATATGAAGTAGAAGAAGAAAATTTTAGTAGGAAAACACCGAAGAGTGTTGTTTCAGGAAAAATAAAAAAAGTACTTCCTTTGGCAAAATGGTCTTGTTTCATAAGTAACGTCTCAGGAAACTTCCAACAGTTTTCCTGGTAAATGCTGGGCCTTGCATTAGAACACATGTTGTCTCTCCCCTCAGGGGATCAAAACCCACCTCTGCCCTCCAGAGCCCTCAGGAGAAGACACTTCACCAGCATCTACCCAGCACTCGAGGAGCAGAGACATGGAGGAGGTTTCCCAAGGAAAGCAGTGGACTGGAGGCTGAGGTCTAGGGGATGACAGTGAGCTCTGAGAGGAGACAGGGCTACACTGAGTCTCAGCAGACCAGCACCCATATCTGAGAGAGCCGCCTCCTCCAGGCTGGAGACCATATTCTCTGCAGCCATAGCCCTCACTGGTTGAGAGGATGGCCTCCCCATCCTCACTCAGGGGAAACCAGCTCCAGGGAGGGACAGAAGAGGATATGAGAGAGAAAGAGCTCCCAGAGAGTCACAGCAGATTCTGGGAGGGAAAATGTTAGGTAGTTAGAATAGGAAACAGGAGTCCAAAATGGTGGTGGCTAAAAGACAAGGAAGGGAAAAGCCCACGGAAATAGAACAAAGGAAGGTCCGAGGACCAGAGTGAGGACTTCAGGTAGAACAAACAGCACTCCTGGCTAGCCCAATTTGCATAGGGCAGGCCCAGGGGAGGGAAAACAAACATATAAAAAGAGGAGCCAAAGGGCTGGAGGTCTCTCTCCCTCTCTCCTGCGCACTGGGGCTCTCTTGTCTTCGTGTCTTTGGGTTGACATGCCCTCATGCCTCAAGGATGGATTTTCCTGTTATTATCTAAATAAAATAGAGCTGTAACAAGAAGCTATAACACTGATTTGTCTAAGAGCTATAACATGGTCCATTCGAGACCTGAAAGCTATAACATGGTCTGTCCAAGACCCGAGAGCTGTAACATGCTGAGGTCTTTAATGTCTGTCACTCCAAATCTTTGTTGTGATGAGGCAGGACCAAGGAGTATACACTGGCCCGACAGAAAAGGACCATCCAAGGCCCTCATCACATCAGGAAACAAGTCACAGGAACTGGGGAACTTATACACCTGGGGCTGCGCATCAACTGAACTCTACAGGCAAGAGGTCCTCTCTCCTGGCTACAGGCTTCTCTGCTCCACACTGGACACCTGGTGGGAACAGATGAGGCCAGCAGGCAGAGCCTCTCACAGAGCCCAGTGCTGGGCAGACATGGCAACAAACAGAGGGGAGCTGGGGGATGGGGGAGAGGAGCCAGAGAGAGGCAGGCAGGTGCACGATTATCTCTGATCTGGTTACATGCAGCGGCCATGACACCCAGCCCTGTGGGACCCTGTGTGCTTCACAGACCAATGGACTCAGTCCCTGCTCAGCGGCTCCATTCCTCTCACACAGACCAGCTCCACACACCCTCACACACCATCACACACCCTCACACACAGACATACACTCACACTCTCACACAGCCTCACACACACACTCATAAACTCTTCACACACTCCACAGATACACACACACACAAACTCCTCACACACTCCTCATTCATCCCCCACACACAAACGCACAAACTCCTCATACACCCTCACACATTTTCACACACACAAACACACAAACTCCTCACACAATCCACATACAACCTCACACATCCTCTCACACAGACACACACAAGCTCCTCACACACTGCACAGGCTGACCCAGCTCAGTCCAGACCAAACCTCACTGCTCTGTATAATCTGCTGCTATGACCAGTGGACCCCCCACAGGAGAGGGACCAGTATTCACAGTCAGCATGGCTCCTTTTTGGTCAAAAACACTGAGGCTAGGTTCCAGAACTCCAGACACTTTTCCCTTCACCAAGGCGTCCCTTCCCAGCTGTGGACCCAGGACAGAGGGCAGCTCTTACCTTGACCACCCACCACGGTGCCGAGGAGGAGGACACAGAGTCCCTGGAGGGAGAGGGGTTGGCTCAGAGCCATCCTGACCCCACGTCCTCAACGTCACAGTCCCAGCTGCAGGATCAGCCTGTGAGGAGGCGTCAGGGTGCCAACCGGTGTCTATATAGACCATCCCCTACATCCTCCCTCCTGAGAGCCCATAGTGACACCTTTCACCATTTCAGGCACTATTGGAGGCTGTATCTGCCACTTTCTGTAGCTCAGACACCAATGAGCTTCTGAATCTTCAACATCTCCTTATATGAGCAACAGGGTCCTTTGACCCCCTGTTTCCATGGTCCTGAGAGCCAGGCCCCATGGCCGGCACTGGTGTAGAAAACTTGTGTCAAGTCACGTGAGTGACTCTTTCTCCCCTGATCACCCTGGCCAGTATTTACAGACTGTGAGATCTCACATGGTCAGGGTCCGGGATCAGTTGGCCCATGAAGAATAATTTTGGTGGGATCAGGCATTGATACTCCCCAGGGCTGGGCTCAGGGACAAAGAAGAGAACTTCAAGCAGGCTGAAAATACAAGAGTAATTATCAGGTCAGCAGAAATGAGGACAGGAGCACAGGGACTCACAGGTGAGCATGGAGGGGGTGAGGTGGGAACCATCGGGTTGGGGGGATGAGATTGCTGGTCATTCCCCCCTTCTCAGAATGATCTGGAGACAAGGTCCTGGAGCACAAGGGTGTCATAACAACACAGGGCTTTGACCGAACCTTCCCTGGTGGCTCATGGTAAAGAATCTTCCCGGAATGCAGGAGACACAGGTTCAATTCCTAGGTTGGGAAGATCTCCTGGAGGAGGAAATGGCAACCCACTCCAATATTCTCGCCTGGAAAATCTCACAGAGGAGTCTGGCAGGCTACAGTCCAAGGGGTCACAAAAAGTCAGACACGACTGAGTAATTAACACTCTCTGACTGAACCTAACATTTCTCGTCATGGATCTTTCTCAGCCCCTAAGATCCCTCTGTCCCGCAGGCCCATGTCACTTGGGCCTCGCTCCCCTTCTGCAGTGAGAAGGGCCGTGGTCTTCTGTGTTTACAGACCTGACCCCTCTTCTCTTTGCAGCCACCCAGGGGCAGCAGTTCTGCCCTGAGAACCACCTGCTGATGCACTTGCACCGTTTCTTCCTGCAAAACACAGGCTCAGTGCAGCGATTAGAGCGTGTGCAGAACTCCCCTCAGACTCGGTCCAGAGAGGCCCCACCCTGGATGCTGCATGGTACAAGACACTGCCCTGGATGAGAGGGAACACACACACACACAAACTCCTCACATGCTAACAAAACACACTCCTCACACCCTCACGTACACACAAACCCTCACACACTCCTCACTCATCCCCCCACACACAAACACAAAAACTCCTCATACACTTCTCCCTCACCAGGGAGAGGGGTTCCTGAGAGGGCACTCACAGCCAGAGGGAGCCCCTGCCATCCCCCTTCTAGATCCATCAGGGGTCTCAGAACAGGAATTTCTACCCAAATGGAGCCCAGGCTGCTTCAAGAACTGTCAGCTTCTTCTCTACACGTCCACCAGAGAAGGGACAACAGGTGAGCAGCCTTGGTCCTGAGGGTGACTGAGGCCTGCTGTTTGCTGTGGAGGTGGGGGTGCAGCTCACAGTGTGGTCACTCCAGGCAGCACCAGCAAGACCCAGAAGCTTGTTGGAAATGAAAGTTCTCAGGTCACACCCAGGCCTAGCGAATAGCCTCTGTGTGTCTCATCACAGTCCCTCTAGGTTGTTCTTCTACCATCGAGGTTTGAAGATGCAGGTTCAGAGGGAACACAGACACACAGACTGGGCTCAGTGCCTGCTCACAGGCCAGGCCCCTGGCTGTGGGGGAGAAGAGGGGATGCAGGCGAGGGCAGGCCTCAGGCTGACTCTCCCTCGCAAGGCCCCGATCTAACCCCGGCACCTTCCAGGCTCAGGTTTCTCTGAGGGGACAGTTTGAAGATGCTCTGGTCACAATCAGGTCATTTCCAGCCCATCTGGGAACACTTATGGTTCCCAGAGTGAGTTTTTAAAATGTCATTCTTTTTTAAAATTTCAATTGCTTCATGAAAAGTTGCAGTCAGTAGACATTTCATATGCTCTGAGAATAGGACTTATTAACAGCTAGCTTCCTTAACAGTGATAATTTATCAATCATTATCAGAAAGGACAAGGAAGAAATGAACAATAATATGAAGGAATAAAAATTCCATATCCTTATTCTTATGTAATTAATGTTACCATAAAGTTTTTTTCACATACATTTTGTCCACATTTCAGATTATTCACTTGTAACTGATACTCAGAAAAGGAATTATTATATTTTAAGAATAGAAATTCATTATTTTTCAAATGACAAATATATTGCATTTTTTACCATATTGCCATAGAGCACCCAGAAGTCTATCTGTTCTCTGAATCTTTTGACCTTCTTAAAAAAGGAAAAGGAAAAAATAAGCCTCTTTCTTTCACTCCCCTCCAGGTCCAGGTTACTGTTTCTCCCAGGAGCGGTGGGGGTGGGAGTTTTCCAGGTAGGGGCGACGTCTGTACAGATGGCTTCCCCCAATCTGTACCCCCACCCCTTTCCCCAGGCTCTCTACCTGTCTGTGGGTCAGGTAGACACTGAATCTTTACAGAGTCCTTGGTGGTTCTAGCCTTCTGAGTTTCAGATACTTAAATGATCAATTTTTACAATGAATGTCCAAGGCCAGATTGTAATCCACGCACTGTATCCTTGAACTTGTCCCCTACATGAACATTTCAGCTTCTACATGGATGCTGCTGGTCTGATAGCATTGGCCTCCGCTTTGCAAGTGTGCAGTTTACAGGATCACCACAGGGCGACAGAGTTGGGAATAACAAATTCCTGGAAGCTGGAATCAAGTAAAATTGAAGTGCTTGGTATTTTATTTAAAGGTCACAATTAACATTATTTTCATATTAAAACACCTTAGAAGAGTGCATTGATGAAGACATCAGTTTCATTGTTTGAACTATAAATAAATTAATTAACATATAAATATAGATACTAAAGAAACAGATTCGATAAATGGGCTGACAGATTGATGATATTGATGGCAATAGGTAAATAGAGAGATTGATGCATATATGCATATACACAGTATCTATATATAAGGACTTCTAGACATGCTAAATCCCTTTCCGTTTATCCCATTTCATTTTATGAATTATCCCTTTCTGCTAGTCTCAAAATTAGGCTTCAGGAGAGAAAAAGATTTATCTATAAAGGAAATAAAGAGAAAGTAGGAGTCATCATTCAACTCTAGCCCTCCAAAACAGAAGTTTGGGGTCCTGAGAAGAAAATAGATAGTTTAGAAAGTCTAAGAGTTTCTAAACTTCAATTTTCCCCCTTAGTATATTGAAAGTTTGGTTTGGTAACATTCAGTACACATTTAAAAACTGTAACTGAAAAAGATGCAAAATATAATTTAAGGGAACAGCTCCTGACAGAAGGGGAAATAGAAAGCCTTCTCCTAGAGGGTGGCCCCAGGAGAGGGAGCAAAGAAGAGGCAAGGGAAGCAGAGAAGAGAAAGGGTTCATACTGCCTGCAATCATCAGTGACCCCATCTCCTCTGTTCTGCATTTAAGAGGAAAGGTGGCAGCAAGAACGGAAGCCCAGTGGGCTGAGGGGACAGATCCAAGCAGAAGTGGCTGATGTCCAGTGTGGCCATTGCTGTCCTGTTCTGTTTCCATTGATCGGAGAAGCTCCCAGATGGTCCCCAGAGAGTAGCGCTGGGATGAGTAGAGAGACTGAGAACGGCCTAGGGGAAGCACAATAGAGCTCCCACCTCAAAACTCAAGGTCACCAGCATGCTGCCCCCATTCTTCCTCAAGGCCCCTCAGGCTCAGGGTTCCCATGGTACAGTCCACACAAGCCCACCCTGAGGCCCCCTCACCCTGACTCTCATCATTGCATCTCAGGTGTGGGAAGGATGCATCTGGGACACACACACCCCAGAGTCCCCAAAAGCACTCAGAGACAGCTTCACCCCCTCCCTCTCCCACACCTGAAGGTCTCAGTGGGGCCAACACAAGGGCAGCTGTGGGCCAGTCCACAGCCCTATAACGTCCACACTGGAAGGACCCCTCATCCCTGTCAACAGATCTAGTTTCTCTGTCCTGCCATGCCCATTTTTCTCCCTGAGCCTCGAGAGAAAAGACAATCAAACACAAGCTTTTCTCCCTCTACTTAAATGTGCTAATATTAACCCACTAATCATAGAAGAATTGCTTACTTGTCATCTGTTCCTCCCACTCCCAAGACCCATGATAGAGCCCCATCTCCTTCTATATAGGGATTCTTAACACATTAATGATAATAACTGGTTGTAAATATCAGAACCAAAATGTAAACTCAGGTGGTGGAGTAGGACCAGGAAATGCTCAGTCACTTAGAATTGATGCTCTACTCCCTCTGGGCCCAGATTCATCATTCTTTACCCAGTTATGGACTCCACGCCATCACCAGAAACCACCAGACAAACACCTAGAACACAGGGAGTCCTGGGGTCCAGTATCCCTCCCACTGGATGACACATGGATGCGTTTAGTAAAACAGGCACACACAGTCTCACCTCAGGATGGAAATCTCACTGGTAAGACACTGTTAGGGGCTCTAGACCCTGTTACAGGGAGTGGTGGGCTGGAAAGGAGGGGTTAATTCAGGGCTGGCAGGCTGCCCCACAGCACCATCTACCCCAGAACTGGGGATGCAGGTCAGCATGGACCAACTCACTCTCGGATGAAGGCACATCTTCTCTGACACATAAGGAAATCTCATTGTCCTATCTCATCAAAGATTTGAAGGAGAAAATTTTAGGGAGGACTCCAACCAGCTGTGTCCACAGTGAACTTAACAGAGTGCAGCGCAGGGGTCAGGAGAACAGACTCGGGAGTCAGTCTGCCCTGTCCTGATTCAGAGCTCAGCCACATACCATGTGTGTGAACTTGAACAGGGTTCTTACACTCTTTATGTAGTGGCTTCATCTGTAAAATGAAGGTTTTGATTGAGTCTAG